CTTGAAGTGGTTAAAACAATTGAGTAAAAAGAAAAATCAGACCCACATGCTTTTTTTCTAAAGAGTGTTTGAAAAAACACCAAGAAAGTGGCTTGCAATTGTCCTTTTTAAGCATCCCCCACCTGCATGTGTGAGACATCAGTACAAGTGGTTGAGTGAAGGAGACTTGGCTGTGGCTGATACTGGTAAAACTGGACAGACTAGAAAACAGATGACAAGTTCCACTCTTCACATTAGATATAAATTAAGCATATACTGTTTCTTCGGTCAGGACACAGTGCAGTCTGGGTCTTCGTCCATGGGGTGTAAGAGAACATCCCTGTTTCAGACAATCAAGCAACACACCAGAATAAATCCAGTCCTTACCACGGTATAATGATCTGTACAGTTAGTATCTGTATCTATCTGAAATGTGTCTGACACATAATACCAAGGACCTGTGGGAGTCAAACATATAAAAAAGGCGGTTATAAAAAAGCATGGCTTTTACTTTGCCACTAAAATCTTTGTTGGATATCTTCAAAGCAAAAAAATAAAATAAGAATCACTGCATTTCTCTATATTGAAGGCAACGGATCTAACAACATACAAAACGTTTTAATGGGCCAGGTTTTAACTACATTTTGCTTTTTTTATGGTTCAAATGGGTATACAATATATATCTACACCCACATATATATATATACACATATATATATATATATACACACTATATTGCCAAATATAGTTGCCCTCCAAATCATTGCATTCAGGTGTTCCAATCACCTCCATGACTACAGGTGTATAAAATCAAGCACCTAGGCATGCAGACGCTTCTACAAACATTTGTGAAATAACGGGTCGCTCTCAGCAGCTCAGGGAATTCGAGCGTGGTACCTTGATAAGTTGCCACCTGTGCAATAAGTCTATCCGTGAAATTTCCTTGCTACTAAATATTCCATGGTCACCTGTTAGTGGTATTATAACAAAGTGGAAGCAACGGGGAACAACAGCAACTCAACCACGAAGTGGTAGGCCACGTAAAACGACAGAGTGGGTCAGCGCATGCAGAAGCGCACAGTGCACAGAAGTTGTCCACTGTCTGCAGAGTCAATAGCTACAGACCTCCAAACTTTGTGTGGCCTTCAGATTAGCACAACAACGGTGTGTAGAGAGGTTCATGGAATGGGTTTCCATGGCCGAGCAACTGCATCGAAGCCATACATCACCAAGTGCAATGCAAAGCGTCTGATGCAGTGGTGTAAAGCATGCCGTCACAGGAATCTAGAAGTGGAGATGTGTCCTCTGGAGTGACGAATCATGCTTCTGTCTGGCAATTCGATGGACGTGTCTGGGTTTGGCTGTTGCCAGAACGGTACTTGCCTGACTGCATTTTGCCAAGTGTAAAGTTTGGTGGAGGGGGGATTATGGTGTGGGGTTGTTTTTCAGGGGTTGGGCTTGTCCCCTTAGTTCCAGTGAGGGGAACTCTTGAGGCATCAGCATACCAAGACATTTTGGACAATTTCATGCTCCCAACTGTGTGGGAACAGTTTGGGGATGGCCCCTTCCTGTTCCAACATGACTGCGCACCAGTGCACAAAGCAAGGTCTATAAAGTTTGGGGTGGAGGAACTTGACTGGCCTTGACCTCAACCTGATAAAACACCTTTGGGATGAACTCGAGCGGAGACTGCGAGCCAGGCCTTCTCATCCAACATCAGTACCTGACCTCACAAATGCACTTCTGGAAGAATGGTCAAACATTGCCATAGACAAGCTCCTAAACTTTGTGGACGCCTTCCCGGAAGAGTTGAAGCTGTTATAGCGGCAAAGGGTGGGCCAACTCAATATTGACCCCTACAGACTAAGACTGGGATGCTATTAAAGTTCATGTGCATGTAAAGGCAGGCGTCCCAATACTTTTGGCAATATAGCGTATGTATATCTCTCCATACACACACGTTGCACAGTGAAAGAGGAAGATTGATGCACCTAGGAAAACAGCCATAACTTATAAAACCAAAGAAAAACAACTAAACTTTGCCAACAACTTTTCTAAAGCACAGATGAGCAGAATGCTATTCAGAGCGGAACCACTATGCCACATGCTAGCATTAGAAAATTGGAATTAAAATACTACCTAAGCATATTAAAACAACACAGCCTATGGCAGGGCCAATGATTAACAAATTGCTGTAAAAGCAGAGGGAAAGAAAAACTTGATATCTAAACCACAACTCCTTTTTTCAAATAAACATCTAACAGGGTTTATAGGCTATAAGTCAATGCTGCTATTGTTTGTTAAACCATTCCTACTAGGTGATGAACACACTTATAGATCAGTACAACTACCACTGCCAGCTATGGTTGCTGTTCAAGGAGGACACTGTAAAGTACACCCAATTATATATTGCTCTGAGTTTTGGAAATCAATCCCAAAAAAAACCCTAAAAGGTGTAGAACAGATGGCCAAGCAACACACGTTTGAATGGTGGCTGAGCCAACTGCTTCACATTTGTAAATCAATCTGTGCTGAATGCGTAACTACCAATGTCAGTCATTATGGTTTTGTTTTTTTTAATAGAGTAGGAAAGGGTTAGAGTCTCTGTCATGTTTCAAATTCAGTGCCTCAATTTGATAAACAATTTAAGTTTCCTTGGACTCATTTCTGTTTTGGCGCTGTTATTGCCATCTTTCACTTTTGGATTCTGATTGTATGTACTGCAGTTAAGGTGGCCCTGGCTTATTAGACAAGCCTCACCAGGGCCATTGAGCTTTAAAAATAGTCTGACATCCTGCAATATATAACCACTGATTATTGGTATTGCAAGCACTTCTCCAATATCTATTCTGGACTTTCCAGACATATTGAGGCTGATTTAAAAAGAGAGTTAGAGAATCTTTTCTCAAAAATTATGTGAACATTCACTTCAATTATCCAATCATGTGAAAAACATCTGCACATAATTGGGTATACGATATTAACAGCAGTTTGCCTTTCACATTGAAGTTAATATTGACACAATTTGTTAAATGAAGAATATTAATTTCTTTAGTAAATCATTCACACAATCTTGACTATTTGGCAAGTTCATCGCCGTGGCATATTTAATGCCCGTCCACACTTGGACTTGATGTACAACTTTCTCCTGGTCTATTGTTTCTTAACCATGGCATACATTGGGATGTGCTAAAGAGCAGATGCACTCTATTGATGCATTGCAGTTCAAAATGAATGGCAACACAACACTGCATTTTTGGTGAATTGGCACAATGTGGTGGTGTGGAGTGCCTTTTACAGTGAAGAACTCTCACCCAAAAGGGTGACACCAGGCACATAGAAGTCTCAGTATCAAGCCTCCCTGCCTATAAGAATATTCTCAGAGTCCAGCTCCATTTTACTTGTCAGAGCACAGGGCAGGCTAACCACTTCAGAGAGGTGATTTTAGGCTGGAAATGTCTACTCTGGTCACAGTGGACAGATCTGCTAGTGAAAGGTACACTGTCGCCATTGCCATGATCAAGCTTCTTCTGCACTCCAATGTTCTAAGAGTGGAGTGTGTTAATGTGGTGGTCAGAAGCACAACCTTTCTCCTTGCTCCTATGCACTGCAAAGATGGGAATGCGAGTGCAGGGGGGCTGGGCCTTAGCCTGCTGTAAACACATCAAGTCAAATTGCACATGTGCAGTGCACTAATCAATGATGCCAGTCCTTTCTGCAGACACAGCACTGTGATTTACAGGTATACAATTAGAAGTGTTTTCACAAACATTGTGTAGCTGTAATAGCTAGAGGTACACCAAAATGAAATTTTGAAACCCAAAAACTTTTCTTTTTTTAAACGCATGAGGTAGAAAGCAAGGACAAAATGCGGGACCTGAGGTTACACAGGTTGAGAAGCACTGATCTAAGACCTCAGCCCTCTACTAAAAAAGTGTTTAGTTCTGTCCATGGAGCTGCTCGGGAGAGTTATCCTTACTTGCTGTTCTGACTTGCAGGAAAAAAGGGGAAATCTCCCAAATGAAACAGAATAAGCAGTGTACAGTAGATTGAGAATACAAAATAATGTAAATCTTACATGTGGTGACAACACAGACAAGATTAAAAAGAATACAGCATCTTGGTAACAACACTGCCCTATTGTGTACTATCCCAAAAGCTAAAAAATAAAATAAAATTCAGGCTAGTGTTATATACTGCATCAATGGCAGCACTTGAATCTGAGGCGCTAATTTCTATTCTATATATTGTTTATTGTGCTTTGCATGCCATTGCTTTATTCACAATTCTGGCAGTATACCCGTACATCAAAAAAAACATTCCTTAGACTATTTTTTTTTATATGGCATTGGCGAGGTTATTTAAAATAGCATTAGAACTACATATATACACAAATTACATATTAAAGAGTAACATATTTACAGAACGTGGATTGTTATTTCACAGACTAAGAGTTGGAAACCTAAAAGTCACATTTGACACAGGGATGTTGATGATTTGTTGGAGTTTGATAAACCAAGATTGTTTTGTATCAATTCGTGTCGTTTCAAGTGGAGTGCAATGACTTCAGTGTTAATGAAAAATGCAGAAATCTACACTGTATGAATACGTATGGAATAATGAGAATCTTAGCTTGCCTGAAATAAGTATTCCACGGGAAATGTGGTCATTTCAGCTGTTCAGGCAAATCACACCGATATATTTTAACACCCGACAAAACAAGTATGCAGACTAGCCACTGCTAGCTGACATGTGGTGTCAATTTGTTTTAAAGCATCATGTAGGGCTGATCAATGCACAAAAGCACCTGGTTGAGAACGCATGTAAAAATGCAATGAAACACAAAGCAGGGTGTGAATCCAGCCCTAAATGGCAAGGAATTCCAGACATTGTTTACGTTTTCCATTATGTGCCTTCTTTAAAAAAAATGGAGTATATTAAAAATTCTCAATTTCTCTGTGTGCTACTGTAACAATCCAGAATACTCCACTGGAAAGGATGTCAAACTAGAGAGGGTCAGCAGAATATATCATTTTCATCACTTCTGTGAATTTATGTTTGGTACAGGAAGAGTGGGAATATTGTTGAAAAGAACAGAAACTATACACACACTGTGCACATGCACTTCTATTTACAAGCCAACAGTGCCAGCGATACTGGAAAACAAAGTAGAGGCTTCACTTTTAGAATGGTCACAGGGATCTGGGCACAGACCTCCAACCAATGAGCAGTTCTGGAAGTTTTTAAATGTCTCTGTCTTGCATTTCACATCACTTAGTAGTCCATGTGTTCTGACTGGTCTGGTTGCCATCCGTGGACAAATCAAAGCCCTTGCCACTGTTATATTGTTCATACAAACTCTGTAAAATAAAAAAATTAAAAATGTCAATGGTTGGTAATCAACTTATTGAATGAAAAGAACCCTTTTAGAATACATAGTCTCATTCTCAACAGTACAACCCCAATACATTGATACTAAAAGGCAAGGTTAAAGGCAATGAATCATCGGCAGTAAAAGTTAATAGCTACTATTCACTCACGCTCTAGGGAAAAAAAATGCTGCATCAGTATAGTTATTGGGAAAGCATGGGGAAACCCTGTATATGATAACAAGTAGACCTTAGCATGTAGAGGAAAGCAAATAAATGACATTCATGTCAAACAGTACTTCGGTGCTGGCCTACAGCTAAATATGATCGCATCTAATGTTAAAGCCAGTTTTTCACCTTCGCAGCTCTGGATATAGAATTTGGCGAATTCAGTCCAATGAGTTGTCCAAGAACTCGTTTCATCTCCTCTGCAGCATCATTTCGTATATGATCTAACACCAAGCAAACAACCAAAAAACAACTTTATTAGCTGTTAAGACATTTGAGTTTAACCACATACAGTAAAAATATCACACCACCATGTCACCACCTAAAATGTGACCGGAGGAGGGGTAATGGAAAGCTTTTTTTTAGTGGTGACCACCGTTCTCACAGCATTTTTTTCTGGTGACCACCACTGTTACAAAGACAGAAAGTGAGGGAAATACAAAATAGTAGTGTTGTCACCAGAACATCACTGATAGGATCAACACTCTAGACAACTATGAGGAAGTATGGGATAGGCAGCATAATGCATGCAGTAAGCTGCACCCAAAGTGGGCACTATCCCACATCCTTGGCTCCCTTTTCTTTTCCTTCCCTTCCCCCTTTAACCCCTTAGTGACCAGTGATGTCCGTAGTACGTCACTGGCACCAGGCCCGTTTAAACAGACTCCCAGGCAGCTAAAGACGCCGGTACTCTGTTTAAACTTGTAAAGCCGACTGTCTGCTTTACAAAAGAAGCGATCAGTCAACTCAGCTGTCGACTCATTGCATCTCCGAGCCGGTAAACGGGTCACACCCAAACCCCCCCCGACACCCCCGCCGTATTTCCCGGGCTCCGTTGTCCCTCTAACAGGCCCGGCTTCTCTGGTGTCAGGGGGAAGCTGGGGAAGAAATCACCGAACCTCTGTTCGCTGATCCCCCCTCCCCATACTGTGCGGCCAGGAGCGATGCAGATTATATCACTTCCGGTCCCAATAGCCGACAGTGCTGGGCTCCGGAAGCCCAGCAATAAGCTATTGAAGTGTAATCTGCACTTCAATAGCTTATTTCTAGTGAAAAGGCGATACTATGTGTTAGCAATTAAAGTTAAAAAAAAAAATAAAAAAAAATATACGTTTTTAAAATTAATATTAAATGAAATAAATGTAAAAATAAGAATTTTTTTTAAAGTCCCCCGCGTCTTCACGTAAACATGCGTCGGGTGCACCTACGTATGAAAACGACCATTGCGATACACATGTTGGATATCGCCTTGCACGCCAGAGTGAGAGCAAACATTCTAAGGCCAATATTTATGTGCATTTCTAAACTGACGACCTGTGGGGGCTTTTAAAGCGTCATCTATGGACTTTTTGGGGTACTGAATTTTGTTGTAGTTTCACAGAAGCACACAATTTTTTATCTGGGCATGTTGGGTATCTATTTACTCGTTGTAAACTCATCTTTTTTAATTCTGTTAAAAAAATTGGTATTTAAATTGTGATTTGGGGCATTTAAAGTGACATTAAACCCTCAGATTTTTTAACATAAACCAATACTGTAATGTGTGCCTTACTGTAATCCATGGTTGTTTCCCTTCTCTTTGCATGTAATATTTATTGACATTTTTCAAACATTTTCAGTCAGATATACATGTAAAACCATCATAACAGAGTGGCATATGCTGAATACATTCTATGACATGAATGGATAACGGCTATATACTGATACGACTCAACTATTAGTAGAAAACAGCTGTGAGAACATCCGTTATCAGTATAGCAAACATCTCAACAACTCAATCGGTTGTTGATAATCCAGAAGGGTAGAAAGGATGCAATACGGATCCTAGTGGTATGGGACATATTTTAATAGGAGGAAAAGAACTTATGCGTTGGGATCATAATACATCCAGAGCCCATTGGTAATGAGGGCCCGTGAGGGATATCGTTTAACAGGCATAAGTGGGGCAGGGGTTCCCTCTCCGGATAAGGAGTTCATGTAGTCTACAACTTGGTGCCAGAAATCACTGATCTTAGGGCAAGACCAAATCAGATGAACAAAGTCAGGGTGATGAGTGGCGCATTTGGGGCAATTTTGAATCCATTCAGGTGAGGGGGAAGCAGGCGCAAAATTAATGGCATAATAGGCCCGGTGGAATAATTTGAATTGTAGTTCACGCCAAGACTCACAAACGACGTGCTTCCGAATTTGTTGCCACCCTTTCATGATACAAGCATATGTGTCCTCCAGGAAGTGACCTATTAGTTTGGCCCACAAATTTACAAAAGGTGGTATGGAGCTATCAAGCTGTTGGTAAGTATCTCTAAAGACAAGATACAAGTTAGACAGGGAAAATCTGGATGTCGAGGGAGTCGGTAATTGCTGAAAGGCCTGGGGGGAGGAAGTACGGCCAGGTGGTGGGAAGCTGATGCGGATGAAGTGGGAGAGTTGGGCATATTGTAGGAAATGGGTGGGGGCAATATGGAATTTAGCGATCAGTTCATCGAGGGTCATGCATTCGCCTCGTGGTTTGAGAACATCACTTAAGAGTGCGGATGCCTAAGGCAGCGTTTTTCAACCACTGTGCCGCGGCACACTAGTGTGCCGTGAGATATTTTCGGGTGTGCCGTCAATAAATCGTTAATTTCTTTGATCGATCAAAATTATTTTGATCGATCAAAGTTACTCACCTCTCCGCCGGCTTCCGGGTCTTGCGTCGGAGATCCTGTGACGTCACGGACAGACGTCACCTCCGACGGCCGGGCCGCTTCTCCCTCGGCCCTGGCCACGCCTCCTCGTACACCCCGGCAGCTCGCTTTTGTTAAAGCAGGGCTTGGTAGGGTCTCACCAGGGCTCTGTGGGGTTTAACCAAGACTAGTGAGACCCCACTGAACCCTACTTTAACCAGGGCTACGTCAGTGCAACAGTTTGAATTTAAAACGTATTTGTGTGAAGTGTGAAGTTAAGTCATGGATTGAACAGAATTATGAACAATAATAAAGTCATTATAAAATAATTTCTTTGTGTTTATTTGATTCCTATTCAAGAGAATTACTTTATATATAGTCAATATAGGCACAGAGGTAAAAAATTTTAAAATTTTCTAATGGTGGTGTGCCTCGTGATTTTTTTCATGAAAAAAGTGTGCCTTTGCACAAAAAAGGTTGAAAAACACTGGCCTAAGGAATACCATTTCTTATAGACCAGGGAGTCGGCCCCTGCAGGAAAGGCCGGGGAAGAGGTTATGGGCATCCAGAGAGAGATAGTGCCCGGCATATGAAACAGTTTTCTGACTTCTTTCCACGCGATTACCGTATCTTTTATGAGGACATGGGATTTTAAGTGGGGAGGTAGGGAGTGTAAGGAAGAGTGAAGGGTGCCAGCCAAGGACCACGGGTGTGCCAGATGTTGCTCTAGGAGAGTATTGGAATAAAAAGAGGTGTCTAGTATCCAATCTCTTATGTGTGGGAATATACTTGCTAGATTATATAGTTGAATGTTGGGTAGATTCATACCTAGATGAGTCTTGGGCTTCTGCATTTTTTTTGAGAGCTATGCAAGCTTTTTTGCCCCTCCAAATACATTGGGCAAAGGCTGTGTCTAAAAGTCTTGTATCTTTATGTTTAAGTAGTAAGGGCAAAGTCTGCATAGGACAGAGAAGGCGCGCAAAGCTTACCATACGTATCAGATGACATCTACCTGTCATAGATAACGGTAGATGTTTCCATGAGGACAATTTGTTTATGATTTTATGAATAACAGGGGTAAAGTTTAAAGTGTATAGTTCTGGGGTGATGAGGGGAATCTGAATTCCTAAGTAGGAGATGGAGCGCTGTCGGAGTTGAAGTTTGTGAGCAGCTATGACAGATAATAGGGTTGGGGATGGATTGTGGGATAGGATAATTTTTTCACTATTATTCAGATTAATTTTTAGGACAGAGAATGTGCCGAATGCTGATATGTGGTTTAACAGGATTGGTATCTGAGCTTCAGGGTCAGAGAGAACCAACATTATGTCATCTGCAAAGAGCATTGACTTGATTTCATGGGGCCCCAATTTATAGCCAGTGAACAGTGCAGGAGACAACAGGGAACGGGAGAGTGGTTCGACAGCTATATTGAAAAGTAACGGGGAGAGGGGACCTGTATGGTACACGTGTGTAAATCAATCTTGGGTGAGAGAGAGGTGGAGGTGAATATTCTAGCTTCAGGTGATGTGTACAGGGTGGAAATAAAGTGAAGTACCAGAAAATCCCAGCTTAACCAATACATTTCTAAGCCATTGCCAAGAGATACTGTCAAAAGCCTTCTCCACGTCCAGAGCCAACAAGGCCATTGGACGCGAAGAAGGCCCCGACAGTCTCGTACCATCAAGGGTGCACAGAATCTTGCGGATATTTAGACCCACAGAGCAACCTGTAACAAAACCTGCTTGGTTATCAGACATTATACTAGGCAGAATATTAGACAAACAGATGGCCATGATTTTGGACAAAAACTTGGCATCTAAATTCAACAATGAGATCGGGCGGTAAGATCCTGGCTGAAGAGGATCTTTACCTTTTTTAGGTAGGAGTCTCATATAAGCCTCGTTAAATGTAGGAGGATAAGTCCATTCTGATAGAATGTGATGGAACAGTCGCAGCAGGTGCGGCGATACTTCCTCTGCCAGTAGCTTATAAAATTCGGAAGACAAGCAGTCAGGGCCGGGAGCTTTGGAGCGAGGGGAGAGTCGGATAACCTCCTTGACCTCCTCCAGGGTGATCTCTGCATTCAGTAGGATTACATCATCTGCTGACAGTGAGGGCAAGGAGAGGGAGTCCAGAAACTGCAGGCCGTCTCCAGCCCTGGCATCATCTGCAATGTAAAGATTGCGGTAGTATGTACAAAATACATCAGCGATGCCAGCAGGGTCATTGTGTATCTTGCCCGCACTGTCAGCAAGTTTGAGAATGTGAGAGGTCGGGGCACTCACCCGCACCAAATTGGCCATGAGCTTACCCGACTTGTCTCCAAATCGAAAGAATTCCGACGACTTGTAAGATCTGATTAAGCGATCATATTGAAGGAGCCAATGATCACACTCCTGCTTAGCCTGTATCCATCGGGTTCTATCCGCACTAGAGAGTGATAGCTTATATTTAACGTAGGCTTCCCTGGCCTCAGAGCAAGAGGCAGTATATTTTTGTGTGGATTTTTTACGAGAGGTAACATATGCCGGGATCCTACCGCGTAGGACAGCTTTAGCGGTTTCCCAAAACAGTGAGGGTTGGTCAAGGTGGATAGAATTGTGAGAGAGATAGTCCAACCATCACATTTTAAGTTCTGCCTGAAAGGAGTCATCTTTGGACAAATAGGTGGGAAATCTCCAGGATACCTGGGAGGTAGAGATGGTAAGGTCTTGAACAGATAACAGTACCGGGGAGTGGTCCGAGATAACCATATTTTCAATGGAGATGGAGCGTGTCTTGCACAGAATAGATGTGGACAAAAGAAAAAGGTTAATGCGGCACATAGATCCATGGACGTGGGAGAAGTGGGTGAAAGCCCTCTCCAGGGGGTGAAGAAATCTCCATGCATCCATCATGCCACTGGCCGAGATCATAGAGCTTAGATGAGTGTTTTCGGGTGAAGGAGATGAACGTGAGGTTCGCTGGCCGCCTGATCTGTCCTCCAGCGGAGACGGGACTGCGTTAAAGTCTCCCCTGATGATATGGTGGGTACTGGTTGATGCTTGAGATGTTTGAGATAGTATTGAAGCAAAGAAGTCCTGATTATCCGAGTTTGGGCCGTAGACATTCCAGATATCGAGCGTGGTGGAACCCAATAGAATGGAGATGAAAGCCCATCTACCGTCCTGAGGGTCACATCTCTGGGATAATAGTGTGTGGGGTAAGGACTTGCGTATTAGGATAAGCACTCCTGCCGATCTCCCTTTGGCTGGGGCTCCAACAACTTTGCCCACCCACGCCTTTTGCATACGAGAGAAATCCTCTTGGGGAAGGTGGGTCTCCTGGTGCAGTGCAATGTCCACTCTGTTTCTTTTGGTGCCGTAGTACTTGGGTACGTTTTTGGGGTGATTTAAGTCCCTTGGCATTCCATGTCACTATGTTTAATGGGGATCCCATTGCCAGATAATGATGATACCGGATAGGATCATGGAATAACAAAAAATCAGATTGGGGGTAAATGGGTGTCCCTTTGCTCCCATCCACCCCTGGGGCTGTGCCCCAGAGACGGAAGATCCACTGGACGTGGATATAGAAGGAATGGTGTACTGCTGTTGAGCAGGAGGGCCTCGTGCATAACCTCCCATTAGTGGTGAAGCAAAAACAATTAATGGCAGTAAACATGAACCACAAAAACAAAAAAAAATAACAGAAAGTCATAACAGAAGGTTAACTGTAGTAACAGATCCATTTAGTGCACGCGACCTCCTTTTTTCCCCAGTGAGGAGTGTAGCAAGAGAAACCGTGCGTTACAGCTTGACTCTGCAAGCCGAGCACGGGTATTAGGAAGAACTAAGTATAAGAAACTAAATAGTTCTGTGTCATGTTAAGACCAGCTCCGTCCCGTGAAGCTTATATATTATAAATGAGATAGGGAGACACACTACCCGTGTCCTCAGATTCTCTTTTTCCATGGAGGGCTCTTGGACGGTGACACCAGGGGTGCTTCCCGTGGGGCCATCATAAATTCCATGGCTCGTGTCGCTGATAAAAACGATTCCACAGAGCCGTTTGGGGTGGAAATGCGAAGCACCGCCGGGTAAGCTAATGTGAATTTGATGCGCCGGTCTACCAACAGCCTGCATACCTTGGAAAACGATTTGCGTTGCTTGGTGAGCGCTGCTGAATAGTCAGCAAAGAGTAGGAGTTTGTGTCCCTCTGCCAGCAGATTGCGTTGGGCTCTGTACGCTTGGAGAATTTGCCTGCGGCCATTGAAGTCCAGGTAGCGGACAATCACAGGGCTAGGTTTCTGAATCTCTCTCGATACTCCCACTCTGTGCGCGCGTTCGACTCCGCAGAAGGTCACCAGGCCCAAAGCCTTCGGTATGGTTGCGGCACAGAAATGGACGAGATCCACAGGGGGAACCGTTTCCGGAAGGCCGATGACCCTAAGGTTGTTTCTTCTGGACCTATTTTCCAGGTCATCCACCTTCTCCATTAGGAGGTGGACAGATTGATTAGTGTTGTCCAGTGTGCGCTGTGTGACATGCAGAGCGTCTTCCAGATCACGGACCCTGTGTTACGTCGTATGTATGCAGTGACCGTGGGAATCCAGTGTCTGCTTAAGTGGGCCCAGCTGCTGTTGTATTGCCTCCGTGACAATGGCTTTCATGTCAGCCTTAAGATAGGCAGCCACCGCTGCCGCTATGTGTTGGTGCTCCGTTTGTAAGGATGTAGAGGGCTCACCTTCCACTGCTTCGTCAGAGGATGCCAGCATATCATCCGTATCCGCCATCTTGGACACATCGAGGCCGTCGCTGGAAGGAGGTAGGATGGCCTGTTTAGTCACATTCGGACGAGAGACGAATCTGTCCATGTTGGCAGAGGGTTCGGTCCGGTGCATTCAGTAGCTTTTGAGCTAGGGGAGAGAACCAGGCAGTGTGCTCGATGATTGTACGGGACGGAGCGATGCTGCACACGTCTAGCTCATCGGGCGCCGGAACCGGAAGTTGCTTTTCCTTTTAAATCCTTATCTCTTCTCATGCTGGGAGATACCTTCTTTGCAGCTGAGTGCCTCTTCCTGTAGTGCTGGCTCAGGTTGTGAACCTTCACACAGACACCATGTATCCATTCCTGAGACAAGGCAGTCTGCTGCAAAACAGAAGAAGTTCTGCCCAGCATGAGAAGAGATACAGATTTAAAAGGAAGAGCAGCAAAGAGAAGGGAAACTACCATGGATTACAGTAAGGCACACATTACAGTATTGTTTTATGTTAAAAAATCTGAGGGTTTAATGTCACTTTAAGGGCATTTTTCACTACATTATGGGGTTTGATAATACGTTGCGCTAATATCGTGCAACATAAAAATTTAAATTGCCAACATTTTATTCTACAGAGTCTTGGCTTTCAGAAAATAATGTGTGGGGGGTTGAAGTAATTTTCAGGCCTAAAATGTGAATTATATCATGGGTACAAAAACGAAAAAATCCCCTTTCTCTTGCCCTATTCTCCCCTCCTCCACACTCTAGCTCACAAATAAAGTCTTGACTAGACATTGCCAAAGAAAAAAACCTTAGTTCTGAACTAGTGGTCTGATTCCTAGAGACTATCACAATAAACAGACAAAAAACATATCAAACACAGACTTCTGAAATTCTTTCGACAAAATAGACTTAGTTAGAAACACAAACAGCAATGGCAGATCATTTTAAAGCAAAACGTCACGTTCATTTTTTTCTTAACCCTAGCAGTGGGGCTACTCCCATAATGCAAGAGTTAAGTGCTCATTTTTGGCTAGGTTCAAAAATTAATAAGTTATACCCACCCGATCCCCCGAGCAGGCTTGCTCTTAGACCAGCTCTGGAGCCTCTCTCCCTCTCCACTGCAGTGGGCCAAGGTCCCAGAGTCATTACGTTCGATACAGTGTATAGGATGTGAGGACGCTAAGGGACATATAATCGCTGCACCGGAGGAGACAGGCAAGAGGGAATGCTGTCATAGACGGCCATCTCAGAGGATTGGGCGAATATAACTTTTTTAACCTAGCACTTAACCCTTGCAGTGCAGGCGTAGTTCCACTGCAAGGGTTAAGAAAAATACCCAGAGTTGTTCTTCAAAGTAAACTTTGGAGCAAATCAACCAGACTGCAGAGACTATAATAAACTTTGGGATTATGGACAACATCAAAAGCTGAACATTCCTTCTGTAGGCCTACGATATTAAAGGAGAACTATGGGGTTAGGGCTTTTCCCCATAGTTCTCCTAAGGGTAACGGGAGGACACAAACTAGCGTCCTCCCATCATCCTAAGCTCAGTATACCACGAGCTACAGCTTGCGGGATACTGAGACGCCGCAGCTGAAGCGGATCCCGACAATTATGTCTGTATCCGCCCAGCTGTGTGAGTGACAGCTGGCTCTGCCTATCTAGAGGCAGAGCCAGCTGTAGCCGCCCCCCACCCACGTCCATTCCGCCAGTCAGCGCTGGTGGATCGGAGCGGGGAGGGGGGAATCCAGACCCTCCCCTGTCACGGCTCTCTGCCGTGACAGGATCGAGAGGTGAGCGAACGCCGGTATGTGTTCGCTCACCTCCCGATCTACTGAGCCAACCTGTGACAGTTTCATTGTCACGGGTCGGCTAGAACTATGGCGATGAGTGAAAAGCACTCACCTCATAGTTCTCCTTTAACCATTCAGGCAATCTGTAACTCAAGTTACTATTTTCATTACGACCCCTTTTACATACCTGTCCGAGATTGTATCTGAACATATGGGTGCACCAACAGCTCAGCAATTGATATCCTTTCCTTGGGATTTCTCATTAAACATTTCTTAAAAAGAAGATTGACAATTTGTAAGTAAACCATAAATCATGGCGATATAAAACTAACAGCACTACTTCCAACACTGTTTTATAGCATAACACTGGGTAAAATCAATGTAGGAGAAAGTTAACATTGAGCATAGTGGAAACACGGGTTCCCTTTTTTTACTGTTCAGCATCCAACATATACAGCAGCACAAACTCTTTTCAGATGCTTTCTGTATTTTATAGTATTCAGAGTAAAACTCACAAAACTAGAATTTCATACATTAAGCCAATATGGATCTAATGTACATTGTCAGAATGCTGTAATTGATTGTCATAACAGACACTGAATCACTGCACTGGAAAAATAAGGGGCTCTTGAAACTGAGCAGAAATCTCTATCCGCTCTGCATTACACTACACTTTTACGCACACAATGCTCAAATATCATATATATACACACACACAGAGCTCTCTGCTTTAATTTTCCCTAATAAAAAAACAAGTTATACGGTTCAAAGACGTGGGGGGGATTTCTCTAAACCGGAGCAGACAGAATCTGGAGCAGTTGCCCATGGCAACCAGCTTCTCTGTTCAGGTAAGCTTTGAAAATGAAAGATAAGCCAATTGGTTGCCACGCACAGCTGCTCCAGAGATTGTCTGCTCCAGTCTTGATAAATTCCCGTCAAGATCTTTAAAAAATGGCCGTTCTGTTAGAACAATTTCTTTAACACTGAAACTTTAACAAGTCTGTCAGAATGAAGAAAACTTACTTTCAGTACATCCCGGAGGTCCTTTTCCGGTATATCGGGTATCTCTATTTTATAGCTTGGATCCAAGATTGCATGCAATTTAGTGATCTGATTAGTAATATGCTGGAATGGAGTCTTCCCATAAGTCATACAATATAGTATGCAACCCAAGGACCACACATCACCTTTAGGACTTATCTAAAACAAAAATCAATATTTTAAAACACGGTGGTACATGTGGTCTGAAAAATGCACACACAGTTATTATAAAATAAAAAGTATTTACATCCAAGAGGTGTTCAAGTTTTGTCAGAGCATATTGAATCCCAGGATATTTACAGTATATGTAAACCCAACCAATAAAATTTCACATTTGCACATAAGTTTCAGCATGTTAATGTAATTTCAAAAGTAAATTTCAATAAATCTAAAGTTGTCATTATAATACTTGACAAGTCTGCCATGAAGGTCCTTGCTTGGGCACTTCATGTTATAGGGTGACAATGCTCTCTCCCTATCCCTAATGGTGACCCTGCATTGCCACAGTCACATGGGCTTCTGTTTGATTTTTTTTTTTCTCTGTACCTTCTGAGGTGCCAAATGCTTTTCCTCACATGCGAGGACGTCGGCGGCGCTGAGCGTCACTGCTGTGGGCGGTGCTCCAGGTGGGGTCTTAATGTAGGTGGCCGGCGACTGCCCAGAGGACCCCACCTGGAGCACCGCCCACAGCAGTGACGCAACGCTCCTCCGCTCAGCGCCGTCCTCACGTGAGGAAAATCGTTCGGCACAGCGATCGAGGCAACAGAAAGTAAGACGGGGCCTGGGCTTAGTGTTTTGTGTGAACAAGATCTATTGCTGCAGTGTATTCTATATGTACTGTACGTGTACTACATATAGAATGCACTGCAGCAATAGATTTACAATTCTGCACTGCTAATATGAAAGGGGTTAAATGATCCATAGTACATAACATGTAGTTGTACCATGGATCATTTAACCCATTCATGTTAGGTCAGAATTGTAAATCTACTGCTGCAGTACATTCTACATGTACTGTATATGTACTACATATAGAATGCACTGCAGCAGTAGATTTACAATTCTGACCTGCTAACATGAATAGGTTAAATGATCCATAGTACAACTACATGTTATGTACATATTATGTACTATGCATCATTTAACCTATTCATGTTAGCAGGGGATAATTGTAAATCTATTACTGCAGTGTATTCTATATATAGTACATGTACAGTACATATTCCCAATTCACTGCAGCAATAGATTTACAATTCTCTCCTGCTAACATGAATAGGTTAAATGATCCATAGTATAACTACATGTTATGTACCATTATTGTAACTCTATTACTGCAGTGTACGGGACATGTGTGCTGTATATGTACTATGGATCATGATTTAACCTATTCATGTTAGCAGGGCAGAATTGTGAGCGCCTCCCACAAGCTGAGCACCGAGATGCGATGCAGTGATCCTGCCCAGCGTCGACTACAAGAGGCGCTGATTGAGGCACCAGGGATCGGAGTGAAACTAAGTGAGGGAAGCTGGGACTGGGCTGCTGTAAATCTGTGGCTATAGTGTACTGGATGTGTGTAATGTATATGTAGTACATATATACAGCACACACCTCCACTGTATTACAGCATAGATTTAAAAATTCTCCCCTGCTAACATGAAGAGGTTAAATCATGATCCATAGTACCAGGGATATAAGTAACTGGTATCAGCAAGTACATGAGGTGAAGTACTTGTACTTGGTCTTGAAAAAGTGGTATTGGGACATCCCTAGTTCTATGACAATAAAACATTAAATCTCCCAAGGCTATGTGTACATACAACCACAAATTTAATAAACTGTGACCCAAGGATGACAATTACTTGTATCAAGTTATATGTTATTTATAAATAGTGTGGGCAAGGTCAGATACTGATTAAGCAAATAAGAAAAACAGACCCATTTTTTTCCTTCTTCCCGGGTCACTCTATCAAATCAGGCCCTACCTGCCTAGAGACATACAGAGTACTTGCAACTCCAAATTTTTATTAAAAAAAGATTGATGAATTTCCACATAGCAGTAAAGGGAAGGAGGCAAATATTGAAAAACAGAACAAAAAAACGGAGTAGAAACATGACTGAGAAAATAAAACCAGGTGACATTTTACCTTGGACCTTGGCTTTCCATTTTCTCCAAAAGAAGTGGTATCTTTTATCGCCTCAGGTGGCATGTAATTGATTGTGCCAACCTAAAATCAAAAACAAGCAGATTACATCTGGGGGGATATAATTAAACAAAAAGGTATGTTACAATTCAAACTCTACAATGAAGCTGATTGTTCAGTTGATAGTCTTAAGGTGCCTACACACGTTGCGATAATCGTACGATAATCGCGGGAAATCCCGTGATCGTACGATTATCGCAAGGCGTGTAGAAGGCGTGCAACCCTTTCTACTGTACGGTTGCACGACTTTTATCTTAGGAACATGTTCGAAAACCCGCAGAGAATTGTACGATTGTCGGCGGGTGTGTGGTATGTTCGTATGCCCGTTCAGCATTGCGGTCATCGGAAGCCGGCCCCTCAGCGGGGAGGGCTTGCGATTATCGCAAGTACGATCTGCCTGTCCAAGATGGGCAGATCGTACGTTTTTTTTAATTACCTTACAACCATCGCAAGATGGTCTTGCGATGGTTGTAAGGTCTGTGACCAGCTTTACACGTCAGAAAATCACCCGCCCACAGAAAAACAACTTATTCTGAATGCTAAAAACAAGGGTGTTGAAAGAACAGTGAGCATAATGTTTTAAAATTTGAAGTACATTCACCTGAGAATCTTTAACAATGCTAGTTACATCTGGCTGTATTTGGTTAGCAATTCCAAAGTCTATTAGTTTCAGCATGCCATCAACAATCAAAAAGTTTGCGGGCTTCAAGTCACTATGAACGATACCTAAGGAAAAAGCAGAACAATCCATTTACAATTCATTAGCAACAAGAGAGAGAGAGACCTCTTTATCCTGAAATTTATGTTTTAGCGCTTTAGTTATGCCCTCGCATTATTAAAGTCAAAAGGTTCATTTACACCACTACATTGTGGCAATGCAGCCAAATGCACCTGCTTTGCAGCACTTAGCAAAGCACTTTCGCTAATTGCAGCGTGCTGTAATACAATAAAATGCTGCAGGAAGGATTTTAGGTCTGTTGTGCTGCATTCAAGTAAATGGGATGCCCTAATAAAGTGCCCTAAAAAAACCACACTTTTGAACTGAAACAGATTTTAAAACACAAACACCCCGAAAAGGTAAAATTAGCCATAGCTGACTGGGGAACTTTATTCATCTTTCCTCTAAGCTAAAATAGTTGGGAGTTTGTGCGAAGATAAAATTGTAGACATTTGTCTTTTTAGATCTTAAATAACCATATAGCTATGTAAAACAAACGGTCAGCAATCAAATAGTCACCTACCATGCTGGTGTATTGTGTGAACGGCTTCCAGCATGTTCTTCCAATAACTCTTCCTCTCCCATGGATTAATAGTTTTCTTTTTTCTCAGCCATGTATTGAGATCAATATTGCCACACTCCATAACCATGTAGATGTGTTGCTTTGTGATTTCACTGCAAGAAAGAGTTGGCTCCTTTCAGATATTTAAAACATAAAAAACTCATAAAACCTCAAATAGTTCCATACACTTACTAATCATACAGTCGGATTATTTTATCACAGTGTTGCTGAAGTTTATTTAAATGGGAAATCTCATTCTGATAACTCTCAATAGTCTGTTCGTCAGCTTCCTCCAGGTCCACATACTTTATAGCATACAGATGTTTTTTCTCATCCATAACCTGAAAGACCTGTAATACAACATACAAGGTTGTAATGGAACAATATCCAGATTGGGCAGCAAACAATTCATTGAGCAACACTTGACTCATATGAAAAAAATGGGATCACACTAATAAAGCCATTTAAATCAGCAAAGGAAAATGTCCTAAGACACTATGCTTTGAATAGGAAGTTACAGTATTCAGCAAAAGCCAAAAACAGACAACCCAGCAAACATCTATACAAGCACCAAGCTATGCTTTCAAATGCTAAAAGTCTAAGAGGATACCTGATGACAGATGCTCATCAGTATGCTTTTCATTGTTGCACAGTAGTAAACCTCTTGTTTTTGCATCCACACCACCTAAGTAGAATGGATGCAAAAACAATGCAAAAACAAGAGGTTTACTAGGGTGAGCAGCAATGAAAAGCATACAGGCTGATGAGCAGCTGTCCGTTCATGAACTTAAAGAAATACAGCAAAAAAATTTACTACATCCAAGGAATAAGTTCTCGATCCATTAATAGTCTAGCACAAGGGCAATTTATAGATACAATAATCTATGACTGACAAATTAGAAAAGTACACAAAAATCATCACAGCTATAAAAATCTAAGGAGGGAGTGACAAAGAGAGGGGGCCTGCCTCACAGTAAAGGGGACTCCAAAGGCATGGATTTTAGTTGAAAGGCCAGCAATCAAATCTTAAACTGTTAAGTCCTATAATGTACCTAGAAGGAAATGTGCAAAATAAATAAATATATATAATTTTTTTAGAAAGACCACATTGTCTTAAAAAATTGTCCTAACATGAGAAAAGATTTTTAGTGGTTACAGTAGAGTATTTAAGTCCATTGAGCAACACATTAGAGTAGTAATTCTCGGACATGTGGTTTATATTGCCATCTGCAGGAAGTTTGGACACTGGCAAACAAAAGATGTTAAGCCAGCACTTGTATAATCCCATTTCCAGCTGTCATACCTCGGTTTTGTGAGCAGTCGAGAACACAAGGTTTAGTAACACAGAAGGGTGGGACGTGTCCCTCAGTGGACTTCAAGAGAAAGACTTAACAAGAAGACAAAAATCTTATTTTCTTTATCGTCGTATCTAGGAAGTAAAAAAACAGTCCATCTGAGCGGTGGGCAAAACATACCGATAGTTGTTACGGATGTACAATTTCATAAGAGTAAAATAATTCAATATCTGAACAAAGGGTTGACAGAGATGAGTTACCCAAATATGGGGATGTTCAGCAGCAAGGAAATTACACCCGAGGACCAAGCAAGTATAAACCTCGTAGGGGGAAAACCAGGTCATGAAGGAACAATATACCTTAATGAACAAAGTGGAAGACAAGCAATTAGTGGGATGCTTAGATGAAACATTTAACCCTTGACTTTAGGAAGAGGGAGGTCCAAATATGAACAATGTCAACTAAGAAGTAATCTCTAAAAAGGAACAAATATAGATATTAGAGCCCTTGGAGGAGAAAATCTTACAGAGAGAAGGCTACCAAACCCGAACCCTTAAAAGAGTTCCCTTAAAACCCTTAAGAGAGTGATCAACAATACCTGTATAAAGGGTAGCCAGGTGTCAGGATGTATTGTAATGACAATAGGGAAACAAGGTCAATAGGAGCAGAAGGAAAAGTAGTCTTTTCAGATCCAGCTGACAGCCAGAGCCTGTAAAGTGCAGAAGCACTGTAAAGGCGCTAGAGTTAGGAATCTACCTACCAGCACCGATGAAAAATAAGTGCAATAAATAAAGAAAAAATATCATCCAGAATGTGTGTTAAGAGTTTACATCCATTGGGATGATGTTTTCCAAAGGAAGGGAAGGCCCTACTCTTAATAAAATCCAGCAAGTGGGGCTTCCAGGAGGAAAGTGCTAGATAGGAACTAGGAAGTAACCAAATCCCTACAAAAAAAAGGACAGGGCTCAAAGAGGATCAAGCATCATAGGGAATACTTTGCAACTTCAATGAAAACACCACTGTCAAAAGGAGTGTGTGATTAAGTGGCATACATATCTACAAATAGATTTCTATCAGTAGGAATAAAGATCACAGGACACACTGGTTATTCTGGAAAAAAGCACAATGGGGTATAATAATGCCAGAAGAGGGTGTAAAATAAACAAGCCTAATCTAAAATGTAAGAGTAGGAGCTGCAGGGGAAAGCCATGAGAAAATTTAATGTTACTTTAGGGAGTCCTGAGCATGCCAGGCACAAAGCTAAAGCACCCTACACATGTGAACAGACATTACATTACGCCCAAGCGGGACAATGTAGATGCTTCTAAGAGACCATCCCAAACGTAATGCAATGCTGTAGACATTAGTTCCAAAAGCTCCAGGGTAAGGTTTACCTCGAGAAGGAGCAGTCTCTTTAACAGTGTTATTTTAATCCTTCAAGGGTCAGACAGTTACGCCAGTGAACTCAAAAGTGATGCCACAGAATGAAATCCAGCAAGTGAAATCCTTAAATGTAAGAATATCACCAATGTTTTGAGTGGTATGTTCATTAATGCAGATGGCTGGAGTGTCTACAGTGGGCAAAGACCACTTATTGGTAAATTTCGTTTTTAAAAGGGAAAAAGCTACTTTACATTGTCAGGAGGGAGCCTTGATGCCACAGAGTGCTTCCAGGAAAGTTTTACAAAATGAAGTATGGGAAGGTCTTTGTAGCCACAGCTCTAAAAGACCCAAAGCCTGAAGCAGCAGGCCGATGCCTTAATTGCAGTGTAGAATGTATTACACCAGAGGAGCAAGAACCCTTTATAACATAGAATCATATGGGACTTGCTGAAATACAGGTTTATTCAGAAGGCTGTGAAGGTTCTGAATCTAAATCAAAGATGCTAATATGGGCTCTAGGCACACTTAAAGGAGAACTATGAGGTGAGTGCTTTTCACTCACCTCATAGTTCTAGCCGACCTGTGACAATGAGACTGTCACAGGTCGGCTCAGTAGATCGGGAGGTGAGCGAACACATACCGGCGTTCGCTCACCTCTCGATCCTGTCACGGCTCTCTGCCGTGACAGGGGAGTGGCTGGATTCCCCCCCTCCGCCAGCGCTGACTGGCGGAACGGACGGGGGAGGTGGCGGGTACAGCTGGCTCTGCCTCTAGATAGGCAGAGCCAGCTGTCAGTCACGCAGCTGGGCGGATCCTGGCACAATTGTCGGGATCCGCTTCAGCTGCTCAGTATACTGCGAGCTACAGCTCGCGGTATACTGAGCCTAGGGTGACGGGAGGACGCTAGTTTGTGTCCTCCCGTTACCTTAAGGAGAACTATGGGGAAAAGCCTTAACCCCATAGTTCTCCTTTAAAGATGGAGGCTCAGTAGGGGGGTTCTATTATGGAATGCACCAGAGTGCGCTCAGAACCCTTGCAAGCTTGATTGCTGCCTTAATTGAGCACAGACCAAAGTTGATATTAAAGGTCTCATGGATGTATGCGAGGTCCCAGCCTCACGTGGCAGATCTGTATAAATACTCCAGAGAGGACAACCCTATAGTTAGAGGTGCCGAGATCTGTGTTTCATTTCTGGGAAAACCAAGAAATCACCTCCATCAACATTAAAAAAGTATGGGCTGAGGTCACTCATAGCAGCAGGACTGTCCTCTCTGCATCTTTGCAAAAACATGTTGCACCACTTAGCTGAGAACTAGGCTCAAAGTAAGACTTACATACTCACAAACCAAGCTAGTGCTGATGAGGGTCGCATGCAGCCTGGAAGTGACCGGGTCAGCGTAGCAGAACGAGACTGGATGATCCACAAGGTTTCATAGAAGCAGATGTCGCAACAGGAAGGTACTTTCTCTAGGCTGAAAGAGCATTGTGCGCAGGCAATATTCCACCTACCAGATGATGTTAATGCTCAGTTACCTTAACCTTATGTGTCACTGCACAGAGACAGTGAGAAAGTTTGATCAGCGTGCAACTGGGAGGTAGCTCCCAGTGCTTCAGCACGACCGGCCCCATTCCCCGAGTGGGTTCTTGGAGACAGAGTCACAATCACACGGATTGTTGTAATTTTTACACACAGATTTGTTTATTAACACTTTAGTGTGCAGTTGGTTCACATAGACCTAGCGCAACATATTTGCTTTACAGAGTCACAACTAAGACCATGCCAGAGCTCTGAAACTGGAAAGCACTTTGCAGATAACACAGTACACCAACTTTGAAAACCATCATAAGCAAAGACCAGGGCCCAAAATTCATGTTCCAGGCAAATCCTATAGATAGACTGACATTGCCAAGGGATGGTCTCACAGAGTCTGCAGAGACTGGGCCACAACAGAGGCTGCATCACAGCTTTGGACCTGAAGAATGCAACTAATACAGTACACAGAGGTCTGAAAAGCATCAAAATGCAGAGCCCAGTGTGTGTGTCACATGTCAGGGTAGCCCACAACATACCAGTTCAGAAGGGTGCAGGTAGGGCTTCCAAAGCTAGGCTGAGGAAATGCCAATATGCTTCAGTCCAAAAGCTTTACTCGCAAAGGGAGACAGGAGAGACTGTGTCCGAGGCTGCGCCACGGCTCTGGGCCTGGAAGGTGCTCTTTGGATAACAGTACACAATGGTCTGGAAAGCACCATAATCAGAGCCCAATGTCCGAAGTTCACATTCCAGGCTAGCCCCACAATCTTCAGTCCAGCAAGGTCTAAATATGGCCTCCAAAACGGTTACTGAGTATATGCCGATCATAGCTGGAAAGCTGCTATAAGGAGCATTTATCGAAATCTTGACTGAAGCTACTGAAATAAAATTATCCAGTGTTTAAAAGTAACTTAAATAACCTGCTAGGACACTTCCAAAAAAAAAAGTAGCATGACGGCCGGAGGCAAGGTTGTACAGGGGATGATAACGTGTTTTTGTTTACCAGTGTTCAAACATCCTGTAGACTGCAGCATAATCCACATGTCCAAGGATTACTACTACCCTGTGTAGCTCAATACACAAACAGAAAAACGTTTAGCAGTATAATCTACATTGTTTGTTCAAAGCAGAATTCCAGGTGTTCTTTTATATGCCCCCACCTCTCCCCACTGCGTTAAAAACAAAAATATAGACCCAAGCTTTACTTACCCTCTTCCATGTTCCAGCGCTGTCCCCAACATCATCTTCAGGGCAGAATGACACCGCCATTCTCCCAATTTCCTGTGAGCCCGGCCTGTCGTTCGCAGGTCAACCATGGAGTGCGCATTATCACTCAAGCTGGGCTTCCAATACTCCAGGACTGACCGGCACTCACATGGCATTACATAGTCACCTCTTCGTCCTGGATGAATGCCCACACCACCTGCCTCCCCTCTTCCCACATAGATATATTGCAGAATAGTATATCAGCGATTACCTTGCTGGAGCCACCAGTGCCAATTTGTTTTAAAACACCATAAATTCTTCCTTTGACTACAATACACTCATTAGATGCAATTGACGGAGTCATCTGAAAAAGAAATATGTACCGATGAGTTTAACGACATCGAAGGTTGCTCCTCAACAAGCTGTTCCCTTGATCACCATGGAAGATAAAATACAGTATCTATCCATTCTTGCCAAGTTCAGCATTTCAGAACTTGCCACAACATTTTGACTTCACTCCAAAACACTCATCCTGAAAACGATCTGCTTTTCTATAGAAATTAAAATGATTACTCACTATTCATAGATTATCCAATAAACTGGAATGTAGCTAAATGATTACAGTTTGTGCACATACTGCGCAGTATTCCATTAATGACCAATAATTTTATTAAAAAAAACTTCCCTCCTGCACCAATAGTATTAGAACATTCAAAAGGACAGACACACATTACATAATCTATTTTTACAGATGGACTTTTGCAGGGTAGACTCCTGAATGAGGGACGCTGCAGGAGAACACAGAGTCCTGAACAGGCTGCTGACAGTGTTTCCTTAAAGTTAACCTGTGAAAACAAAATTTGGTAAGCACCATTGCCAACATTTTTAAACAGGTACAGGCTCCAAGGCTGACATCTTGATCCAGGCAGCTCCACTTTTTCAGGATTTGCGGGTTCACAATAAAGCCCACCTACCACATGCAGCAAAAAGCAAACTTGAAGCTCTATAGCAGGAACCCTCTGATTAGTATGCGTGGCAGGCGACCCTATTTGCCACTGCTGCCCCTGTTCCTCCCCGTGCCATCCTCCCCACTTGATAAGGATGGGCCTGGTGACAGTTTACATCTAATACTGCAATCAGCATATCAAGGAGGGTGTAGGTTTTGTTGATCTATATCCACAAGTAGTTTCCAGACGTGAATAGCAAGATGTGTCACATGAGGGTGCTTGCTACACAGCCTCAAGCTTGCTTTCTGTCCCGGCAAACGAATGTGTGTTTTAAAGCACACCTTGCACCTAAATGACTTGCTGCAGCTTCTAATGCACACAGTGAAAAATTCAGTGTGCAATGAAAAATCAGACTGAAACATTTGTAGTACAAGAGGGAAGCCTGTACAACTGTGCAAGACTGCAGATAAGGATGGAGTTCAGCTTTAAATTGGTTTTCCCTCCCAGTGCTTCCCAGCTAAAATACGGAGTTAAAGTGACATTAAAGTCAAAAATATTCCCCCCCCCAATGTTAATGTCAGCACTTACCTTAAATGATGTTTCTTAATCCGATCTTCTTTCCTGTCCTTTTCATCTGTCCCTCCAGCGCTGCGGAGGGCCTCCGATCCAGCGCTGTTTGCTCCGAGCTTGCTGGACCTTCCTGTCCCACAGTGTCTGCATGCGGGTGCACACGTCCATAGACTTACCTTGTGTCTCTCCTCGCATCCCGGGTGAAAATGTGAACTGCGCATTCGCCCGCCCCAAGATGCTTTGCGGCCGCCCGAGAATCTTCACATTTTCGGACGGGAGCGCGCGGGGAAGACAGGCAAGTAATAACCATTTTCAAAGCGGGGTTTTTTTTTTTTTTTTTACACTTTTTGCATATATTTACTGCTTGCCAGCAACTGAGTGTTTAATAACCCTTTAAGGAAAAAACATATAATAAAAAAATCAACTGAAGGAGTGAAATGGTTGAACATATTCACCTTTTGCCCTGCTTCCGCCTACAGCCCCAAGGGGAGGGCAAGGCCATGCTTCTGGAGAGATTTGGGGAATGCAAAGCAGCCCAAATCTAGCTGAGGATGCTCCCAGCACTGTACTGCACCATCTTCTCGTGAAACTTGAAGTACTCAACATTCCCCAGGATCTTATCCAGCAGGAGGAGGATGTCACTCCTGCACTACGGATGCCAGAGGACAGGTAAGCGTGATATCTTGTTTTCTTCTACAGTGAATTTTATTTACAGCTTTGTGCACAGTATCAGCAAGGAAGAGGGGGGGCACATTTAACCCTTTCGCCTATCACTCTATATGTGTGCTGCATTCGTGTGTGCATTTTTTTTTACTATTAAAATTTTAATTTTTATTAAACACTTTCCTATCACAAGGAGGCTTACAAGCCCCCTTGTGATAGGAAAGCGCAGGCGACGGGTTCTTTTTAAAGGAGATATCAGGGTTCTGTCACAGACAGAGCAGCCGAGGGTTTGACAGCACTGAACCCAGAAGTGCTCAGACCTAAGCGTTTCTGGGCTCATTCTTCATAGTCGGGATCCGCAAATGTACAGCCAACTGTATCACTTCTACAAGAAAGCCAGCAGCCAGGCTGAAAAAGTAAACAAACTACCGGCTGCTATAGTGGCAGCAAAGCAGTCAATAAAACAGAATAAAAACTAGTTCATGGATTACACACAGATATAGGTGTACTATCAAGAGAAATACATTACCGGGAAAGCTGAAGGTTGCAAAACAGGATTGGCTGGTGTATTTGGGAGTTTATAACTGGGCAGGTTGTTACATGGAGTAGTAAACTTGGAAAGGGGTCTTAGTGGGTCTTTCACCACAGGAGTTCTGAAACTAAACCAGAAGAATGATGTTAAAACAAAGAAAACATACAATACTTCAGCTTACTGCTTATGATATGTTGCTGCTAACCCAAGTTCCAAAAACCACTGTCATAAGTTCCCATCCTAAAGAAGGACATGGATCCATTTAAAAAGCAGCATTGTGGCCCCGCACATTCATGAAGCACAGTGGGATTTACAAATGTGCCTTGCGCTCTACTGGCTTTGAGTCTAAAGGTAGCAGAGCACAATAATAATATATATTACAGATAAATTTAAAAAAAGGATAAAACACTATAAACTCACTCTAATTATGTAGTACAAAAAAATTAGAGGGAAAAAAATGAATTGTTAAAATTTTGGTAAGTATGAATGTACATAAGATTTTAATTTTACAGTCTCTTTACTAGAAATTACCAGTTCATATAATCCTCCTGTGGTTTGGCAGGGGTCCTGCAGGCTAAAACAGGATCACACCTGGTTACTGCCACTGGCGGAGATACTCTTCTGGCAGTTGGCAAAACACTGGGATCCATACTCATTCGCTTGCCCTAAAACAAAAAAAATCCAAATTAGCACATGGGTGCAAAGCTAGCAAGGAAGAAAACTGATTTCTTTGTATGCACTGTAAAATATATTGATGGGATACAGGAGATCATATGGTTAGGTATACTGTTACCTACAAGAAGATTGGACACTGGCAAACAAGAAAATCATTAAAAACACAAAGATGAAGGGACTTGCGTCATGCATTGGACTCAAAGAAAAAGGATTGTTGTATGGCAAGTACAAGAATTCTGTTTTCTTTATCATCCACCGAAAAACACGGAAAATCGTATACTGGTGAAATGTCTAAAAGCAGTCCAACTACGGGGTGCGCAAACAGCAACAACCACTAACAGGCCCCCCCAAAAAAAAACAGAACAGGAGACTGCCTGCAGCCCAAGAGCCATCTGAAGAGCCAGCGCCTGAAATCACTAAAAGGGATGCAAATTATCAAATTCCAGCTAGGGAAGAAAAAAAGAAAAAAACTAAAATCTGACAGTCAACAAGAAACTAACCAAGCCCCTACTAGGAACGAGTACCAGACAAAGCACTAATGTCCCTGCAAGAGGAAGAAGGCCCTTATCCTCTACTCAACTGACCCCAGAAGGGTCTTGAAACGAACTCCGTGTATAGAGAGATAGTGCGAACAAACAGCCACTTGGATTGAACTATAACGTGTGCAAAAGCAAGCAAAAAAAAGCATTGGCAGCGAAAGGGTTAAAGGAGAACTTTGAGGTGAGTGAACATCACTTAGCCTCATAGTTCGCGCCGGCTTGTGACAATTAAATTGTCACACGTCGGCTCAATAGATCGGAAGTGAGTGAACACATACCGTCGTTCGCTCACTTCTCGATCCTGTCCCTGCAGAGAGATTTTGTTTTTATAAATATAAATAAAGGGATGCACAGATACCAGTTTTGCGAGTACGAGTACTGGTACTTGCCGGGTACTTACAAGTACGAGTACCGATACATTTTTGTTTATTGTCATGTGTCAGTTTTTCTAAAACAACACAGACTAATGATTTCAGGACAGTGGTGGAGTGCCAGAGCCAGGTCCCAGCTGCAACCCTGGTAGTTCTCATGAAAATGCCAAGTATCGGCACTGGTACTCGAAAAGTATCTGTGCATCCCTAACAAGAACATTGATTATGTACCTGGCTGAAATGATTCTTATACAGTACTACTTACCTCTCCATGAAAAAGGTCACTTGGCATCTCAGGGATTTTCCACTTCCATTCCATTCCAGCATTGTTGGGTTTGGGAGGATCAGGCTGCTTTGTGTCTATTTTGTTGTCACTTTGGGGCCCTAGATATTCTTGTTCATTAAACGGTGGGTTGTATAGTGCTGTAGTAGAATCAGTCTCATCCATATCTACATCTAAAAAAAAAAAAATTTGAAGACTAAGATGGATGAAGATCTCGGGTGAGTATGGTGCTAATGCATCAGCACAAAGACACAGACGACCCCATCTTTAACCACTTCAGTATTAGTCTGTATAAACCCCTTCATTACTAGGCCACTTCATTTTTAGCGCTGTGATAAGTGTGGCTGAGAATTAGTTGGTCACGTAACACCGACTCTAATCGGCTCTGTACATAATTGTCTGAACTGCACTGTTCGAGGATGGCTTAGGATGCAATTTTTATTTTAAAAAAAATATAGGAGTAGGCGAATGATTCACGTACTGTATATCCAAAGCTAAAAATGTTTTTCATTTTGGACAGTAAAGAATAGTTAAATTTCAAGTCGAGGCTGCCCAAAAGTTTTCTTCTTCTTGTCATCCGCATCCTTTTTAAGAGTTTTCCACTTCACTCACTCTTCTGTAGACAAAAGTCAGAGGAAATCTCTCCAAAGTGAGGGAAATCCCCTCTTGGGACACTTGTCACTGGAAAAAGCATCCTCCATGAAAATTTTCCCTTTTATTCCCATTCTGGTGGCAACTTGACATTTTGTTTTTTTTAGTACAAATAGAGAGTAGAGAATATTGAGAATTTATATATATATATATATATATATAAAAAAAAATGTTGCCTTTAGATACGTGTATGACACCAAATCCACTGACCATATATAGCACAAGTCTCATAAAAGTAAACAAAACAAAAAAAAACTTAACTGACTAATCCAAATCTTCATTTTGTCTCTCCCATTGTTGCCCCCCGAGGCACTGCAGCTCACAGTGGGAGTGTTTTAGTAACAGACAGTGCTGTCAATCCAGAAAGCAGTACTAGGCGTGGCCAGGTGATTATTGACAAGCTACAGGCTTGTAAAATCAGCAGCAGTGATAATACTGAATGCCACTCCCCCTGCAACATTTTTCACTCCACTGCAGCGTAAGCAGACAGTCTACAGAAGCAAGGCAACGCTCCTCTGAATTCAGGAGCAGCGCAGCATCGTTGCCACATGACACGAAGCTGCATTAGATGGACTACAGTGGCAGGATTAATATGTGTGGCACTTTGAAAGGCGACTAACAAAACGAAGAGTAAATGCACTTTTTTGGAGGGAGGGCGGATTCTACTTTACAGTAAACAATGCTAATTGCTTGACTTCAGTACTTTTCGGTCATTGACCCAGAATAAATGTGCTGTAAAAAGGAGCCAGAACACCTGATCTGACTTAGCAATTACTGAAACTAAGCAGTCAGCCCCTCATACACCCCAACAGATTTACTTTGCATGACAAACATTGTCAAGCTCATATATTGGAATATTTAGTGACCAAAATGAATTTACTGCATCACATGGAGAAAACAAAGCGGATGGATATGAACTGCATAAAATGGGGTATGTAATCATTTCAGGACTACATTATGGTCATTCAACAAAAGATATTTAGTGCAAATGTATACACAAAGTACTATCAAACATCCTTGCTAATATCATAAGCAAAGCCTTTCCTTCTCTTAAAGTTAAATGAAAAGAACCCAGCACAGTGAACACCTTACCTTTACCCTCATCTCTTCTGACAGTGATGCTAGGGTTCGTTCTTCTAATGATTACTGACGAAGCAGTCTTCATCTCTACACTGTCCTCATTAAACTCTTGCTGATTTGTCGGGCTTGCAATGTTGGTTGACTAGGAAAAAAAAATGATTTCAATAAAAAAAATGGCTTTGGAAGTCAAGTTGTTCCATAGAAAATCGCTACACACAGTCAACAATAATGGTTTTAGGTCAGTTTTATTTCATCCAACAGGTCTACTTTGAACAATTAGAATATTTAAGGGAGGATTACTGCAAAGTGAATCAACTTCTCAACCATAATCCAAGTGTAATTTTATCCATCATCGAAACCCAGGGCTCTGTGTCTTGCATTTACTAGCTTCTATAGGTTAGAGCGTGGCCTTATACTTCCCATAAAGGGTAAGTGGTCATTGAGGCCACTTATAAAAGGGATGGGCCATTAGTGATGTGCTGGATAAGACCAATCTAGCTCCAACTTCCCGACAGAAGTCTGTATTTGCCTGAGAGGTTTTAGAGTCCCAAGATGCTTCTAGTGATAACTAAAGATATGCAACTCTAGGTGCCTGCATTACCATTCAGCCGACAACCTACTTAGTGGTGAGCCACCCTCAATCTTTCTTCTTTCTACAGAACAAAGTTGTGATAATGAGATCAGTGGGAGGAAACAATGAGTATGGGAGGGGAGGAGAGGGGAAGTGGTTAGAAGCACCAGCAGCGTGGGCAGCCAGATATATCTGGCAGGGTCACTTTAATGTCCCAATGTACACCACTGCATGATATTGCAAGAATAAATTCTAAATGGAATCGGTATGATACCATGTTGTAAATGGTTTTGTTTCCTCACATAGTATTTAGGATAAAAACTGAACTCCGGTGAAATATATAACATCGTGGTAATTTAAATTAAAAAAACAACAGAAGGGTTAATAAACTGGTAAAAGGGTCACCATGCAGAAAAAAAAACCAGGTGAATTTATATGAATATACACATTATATAAGCAATACAGAAATACAACCCTAATGTATTAAACATCACAACAAGATCAAAGCTAGAAGAAACTGACAATGTCACATGCAGTATGCATTGCTACTAACCTTGTTTCCTGAAGCCTGTATGTCATCTTCTACACATTTGTGTTTGGACAAAGAAGGCACGACAGGCATGTGCAAAGAGCTAAGGGGTTGCCTTGAAAGAAAAGGGAACATGAGGGCTTTATTCAGAGTATAGTAAAGTCTATGCCCGTTCACACATACAGCGGTGGCCTGTATTTTACCGCACCAGAACGCAGGTCACCACTAGGACACACAAAACCATTGCTTTCTAAGCTCCCTGTTAACACCACAATGCACATATGGTAAGTGGTGAGCATGCATGCCGCATTGTTTCGCAGCGCACTGGATATCACTGCAGGTAAACGCAGAGGAGAGACCTGAAGGTAGTGTACACATTGTACACTACCAATAAAGTTAAAGAAAAAAATGTCAACAGGAAAATGCAAGTGGAACTGCTACAATACGTTAGCCTGTTAGTGTGAACGGGCACTCAAGATAAGAATCAATATGCTGTAGTTTTGGATAGATAAATTCAGAAGCGATCTGGCGACAGGTAAGTCGCCAGGATCGCTTCTGTTGTAAAGCCGACAGTCGGCTCTACAAGTTTAAACAGAGTCCCGGCGGCAAAAGTCACCGGGAGTCTGTTTAAACAGCCCCGATGCTGGCGACGTACACTGTAAGTCGTCAGTCACGAAGGGGTTAATGAGGCCTGTCCCTATTAACAGTTATAATCATATAGCAACAAAAAAATACCCCATAAAGCCATATTTTAATAAGTATATGTATGTAATATATTAATCTATAATCCCCCCGGCTTATTGTAAATCATCAAGTGACAGAGTCTTTCAATATATACAAGGATACTGTTCACCCTTACTATAGAACTATTGGCAGTACTTATCAGAAGGGATCAGCATATTCAGGTTCTACATATAACCAATCTGTAAGAGAGAATTTCTCCACACGAAGATGACATGCTGCTCAAATTTGGCAAACCCTACCAACAAAAAAGTCCGCGTAATAATCGTTTCGCAAAATAGTCCAGTTTTAAAGTGAATTACAGTAGATCCATTATAAGCCAAAGCCATCCACAAATTCCACTACCTAGGCAGAGAAGTTCTAAAACAACCCATTTCAAATTCTTATTCTACTTCTCCCCCCACAAAGGGTGGTCTAGCCCTTTCCAACCTACACACACTAGTGATTATTTCCGAATCTTAACGCAGATGTGACTACTGAGGAAGCAAGTAATTCCTTCCTACTGAAGCTGTCCAATCACAGAATACCTTCGATTCTGTGAAAAGAATACAAGACATTTTATGAATGGATGAGGAAGGAGAAAGGGAGACTGTTAAAGACACTATCCTGCATTGTGCGAGTGCCAGAAGATCACAGCTGACAGAACGATCAGCCATGAACACTAAACTAAGAATTATAGGTAACTTAGTGGACCAATTAAAAAAAGGTTTTTCCTGGAGTTCCGCTTTAAAAAAGGCAATTGTTTTAGATATGAAGTGCTAAATGTAATTGTCATTGACTTAGGGTTTGCATCTACTTTAATGTCACCTTAGTGTCAGATTATACATACATTATACCACCATGGGTAAATTAGGATCAAGGTACAGTTCAAAAGTAGTCATTTGATCAAGTTTGAAGTAACATGCCTTGGTAAAGTGCCACTGTAATGTTTAAGTATGCATCTCCAGGTACCCACAAATAAGGTAATCTTCCAGACAATGACCCAGGAACCCTAAATCTTGGGCAATCTGGAATGCAAGTTTAAGCAACCTGTAGTGACACTACCCCTTACGAGTGGCCCAACATTGTGAAGGAGGTCTCATTGTCCAACAGTAATGTGCCGTAGGCAGGAACAAGCCTTCTAGCAGGGTAACTGGTACAAATTTGCTTAACAGACCTTTAGGGCTTCCAGGATACTAAACAACAAGCACCTGGAATCGACTGCCGATTCCAGTCACACTTTACCAGGTTTTATCAACCTGTCAACTTGTGCTTCAAACAGCCGAAAGAAATATGCAGGTAGATCAGCGGTTCTCAACATGTGGGTCGGGACCCCATTCGGGGGTCGAATGACAATTTGCCAGGGGTCGCCAGGAGTCTCCCGCTATTAGATAGCGGCTCCTGGCCGCCCGTGAGAGAAATAATTTCTCCCGGAAAGGTTTAATCTGCTCGATCGAGCAGAGTAAAACTTTCGCTGCGATTGTTTTTTTAAAAAAATTTATTTCTGAGATCGGTGCCCCGGCCGCCGTAAGTCAGAAAAAAATAAATAAATCAGCATTGGAATGCATAGCTGCATTCCTATTGCCCATTTCACTTTGCAATAGCAAACTAGCTATTGCACCCGCCCACTGCTGCTGTCAATCAGCAGAGGGGGACCTGCAGTTCTCCATCAGGTCCCCATCTAGTGATTATCATAATTATTATAAATAATAAAAGCTGACACCCTCGGCTTGTGTTATATGGTTTGCCATACAGCAGTGGTTCTCAATCTGTGGGTCGAGTCCTCCTCAGCGCTCTCCTAGCGCAGCAGTGTCAGTTCTCCCGCCACACCGCCAGATGTCGCTGCAGCAGCCGCGTCAACCCTAAATGTTACCGTTGGGGGTCACCACAACTTGGCAAATGTTACCAAGGGGTCCCGGCCCTAGAAAGGTTGAGAACCACTGAGGTAGATAGACCTGTTCATTTATAACTAAAGTTGTTAAAATGAGTGAATTAAACAATTTACTTAAGTCAGGACTTGTGCAGATGATACTGAAATGCATGTGAATTAATCAATATGAAAGCAAAAGCAGCATGACGCAACTCAGAAGCTAACCTAAAAGTGACCGCTGTTTGAGAAAAGCAAGCAATACCAAAATTATTTTTCCTGCTGCCTGCGCTGCCAAACGCTGCTTTGAGGCAGAGAAATCTACTTTAATCTGGAGAGAAACACACTTCCAGTAGTGTCGTTCTCCTGGGTCCCCCCCCACAGCGCTCACTGTGGGGGGGACCTTCTGACTACCTAAATTAAAATACAGCATACAGTATTGATGCAGGGGTCAGTAGGAGGAACTAGCGAGAGCAGTAGGGTTCCAAGGAGATGGACACTCTAGAAGTGGTAACTACAGTACTAACTTCAGCAGAAGATTGGAGTGACATACGTGGTCAGTCGAGTATGTCCCATCTTTTTTAGAGGTTTGTTTTGCTTTTTTCTTAGCAACAGGGTTACTTTACGCAAGTGAAAGCCAAAGCGACACACAACTATATTACATCTGAGCTAGTTGAGCCTTAAAGGTGCCCAAACACCTTACAATTATCTGCAGATTTTCTGTGGTCAGATGGAAAAAGTGCAACAGATTGGCCCAGGTGGAGATTACTCCATCCACACAGTTAAGTGTAGATAGAGAAATCTGTTGCACCTTTTCCATCTGAACACAGAAAATCTGCACATACTTGTAAGGTGTATGGCCAGCTTTACACACATGCAATTATCCAACAATGTACACCCACAGAGTAGTCAGTTGAAAGCACACTTACTAAGCTTTATTGTCGAGTATTCAATTCTTACCTTTTAACACTTGAGGTTGGAAATACGTCGTGATTGGTCGTTCCAGCATCTGGAGAAGCTGCAGACTGTACAAGCACCCTCCCAAACTGACATTTAGCAGGTTACAAACAAAAGGAAATCTACGTTAATATATTAAATGAAATAAGAACTTGCCAGAGGCACTTTATTGGGATGCAGCAAATTACAAATTACCTTATTTGGCGCATGTGCTAAAGGTTTTCGCTGCATCTCATCGCAATCTTCAGGGGAGCTAATCTTTTCTCTATGGAAATGTGAAAATCAAGAATTAGATTAGGTCTATCAAAGCAATATGCAGATTAAATAAAAGTAAAATGACATTTTTTACCCAAATAAAAATCTCATGTTGACAGAGAGCTCTCCTGAGCTGTCACTCCTCGTTTTCCTCGGCTTCCCAAGTGCACAGCTTGGACCATTTTCTCCATTATGCTGGCTCAGAGACACTGTGAAAAAAAACACCACAACACAATAGCAAGATAAAAATCGAAAAGCGCACAGCGCTAAATATTCGTACAAGTAACAATATGTAAAGTGCAGTCTAGTGCTAAATCTGTTACATGAAGAAAATTCTAAAAAAAATATCCCAAAAGCGCAATTCAAAATAGTAATTCATAAACTAGAAATATAAGTGACCAATCGATGATTTATATGCAATACATCTGAATGCAATAAATATTAAATATAACGAGTCCAATCAATAGTTTGTGATAGTAATTCAATGCCAGTGTGCGTTCACACACTAATTAGTGTCTAAAAACAAGTGTAATTAAATATTGTAAACAATCCAGTAAAATTAAGTGCCCAAAGTGGTTCCAATATATCCAAGTGTTGAAAGAAGGATAGAAAGGGTCACTCTCCTCGTCAACTAAGCTTTCTTTCATCGCACTCACCGGAATGAACCCACATATAAAGCAGGCTATAATAATGTATCAGAGCCACATTCAATTGCTTGCCCAGTTCACTCAGCGCTCACTTTTCAATTTACGTACTACAAGTGGCGATACTTTGAGCATAGCAGCTTTTTATTCCATAGAACATAGGTTCCATAGCGCAGAATATTATTATTTACAATATCAAGGTAACTAATAAAGACAAATTCAACAATGGTTTAAATAAAACAGGAAGCGTACTAACAAGATAAATTTTCTTTATCGTCCTCGGATATCAGCTGAGGTTTCCTTAATTGCAGGTTCTTCAAGGCCAGCTCAATCATCTCTGCTGGAACAGCTCCACAGTCCTTCCCTCTCTGGAGAATTTGCTTGCTCTTTTTAAAGTTGCCTAAAAAAAAGTCACATTCAGTTGCAAAGGTGTTACAGTAACTTTGTGATTAACTTGGGCTAGAGGAAGACAAAGTAATGGGCAATCCAACATTTCAGCAATCTCATCAGAACAAGATGTGAAAGTGCATTTCCCAATTGGGACACCTGTTCTGGTGACAAATGCCCAAAAGGGAATTCCCCTCAGTTTGTAGAGATTCTCACTTACTTCCTGCTGTGGGTACAGGACAGGAAGTGAACATAGATCATTAAGTCTCAAAATCCAGCTGCTTGAAAGCACATGACAGCCCCAGCAGAGCAGTATAGAAAACCTTGCCCATGGTTCCCACCACTGGGTCTGCATATGGTCCTCTCTTGCTCCTCCAGTACCCTCCACAAGGAGTGCTTGTGTGTTCTCTATTGTTTTTAGGCAGTTTTAGTCTACTCTAACATCCAGTGGTCCGAACATTTAAGCACGAGATAGACAGCGAAAACAAGTACCGCGCTAAATAATCCCAATTCTGAGAAGCTACTCAGATAAAACTGAAGTATTTTAAAAAAAATGGAAAATGTGCACACTAGTTATAATTACCGATTGTTTGCATGCACAGCCCCAATATCCCCAGCATGCATTGATGAGATTAGACTAATGTGGATGTCTTGGTGGACAGGATAAGAAATTATTCAAACCCCCAACTGGGCTGTTAGGTTTATTATTATTCAGGATTTATATAGCGCCAACAGTTTGCGCAGCGCTTTACAATATAAGGAAGACATTACACTCACAATACAATTCAAGACAAGATGGTAAGGAGGGCCCTGCCCCTGAGGGCTTACAATCTAAAAAGGGAGGGGGAAGTGATACATGAGGATGTAGCTGTGTGGGGATGAATTGTTTGAGAATGTGATGGTTCAGTGGTTAGGTTAAGGTGGGATAGGCTTAAGGGATCGCCTAAAGGCAGTCAGAGTGGGAGATAGACGGACAGGTTGTGGTAGAGAGTTCCATAGGATGGGAGAGACTCTAGAGAAGTCCTGGAGGGGAGGCAAACTCCTAACCTCCAGCTGTGGTGCAACTACAAATCCCAATTAAAAAAGGCACAGGCATGACCCACAGAGACAGATGAATGATGGGATTTGTAGTTTAACAGCTGGAGTTTGCCTACCCCTGTGTGTGCCAGTCATTTACGAACAGAAACCAAAAACAATCTCAGTCATGAAGGGGTTAATAAACATTTTTGCTAAGCCATATTGTGCAAATGCAGTTCTTCAAACTAGACTTTTTTTTTAAAAAGATGTTAACCTGATGCTATTAAAAGATCTCTGGGCAAAATAAAAATGAACCCTTACATTTGGGCTACCCCCAAACTGTAAGGGTTACATGCTCATTTTGGTCTAGGGTTTAAAACAAAAAGAAATACTCACCTGATCCTTGGTCCCACCTGTCTGCTAGACCGGCCTTTTCTCCTAAGGGCTCCGGCGCTGTAATAACCCGCGAGTCATCACTTCTAATAAAGTGTATTAGACATGAGGAAGCTGAGGGAGTTCTTTAACTATTAGAAGACTTAAGAGAACTATGGGGTAACCTTTTTATCCCATAGTTCTCTTTAGGGTCACAGGAGGACATATGCTATTGTCCTCCCATGACCCAAAGCTCAGCATATAGCAGGTTAATTCCCGCTATATACTGAGAGCGCTGCAGCTGGGACGGATCCAGACAATACTGTCAAGATCCACCGAGCTGGCTGATAGGCAGAGCCTGCTGTCAATCTAAAAGGCAGAGCCAGCTGTGCCAGCCCTTTCCCGTTCCTCCAGTCAGCGCTGGAGGATTGGAGAGGGGAATCCCTGCAGGGAGAGGTGACAGAGTCAACGCTCTCTGCTGTGGGATGATCGGGAAGTGAGCGAGTGACGGTATGTGTTCGCTCACTTCCCGATCTATAGAGTTGACCTGTGACAGTTTCATTGTCACAGGTCAGCTCGAACAAGGAGTATGAAAGGAAATCACTCACCTCCTTAAACATCAAAAAATTAAAAACATTGGTAAAACGTTATTGGAAAATTACCTTCTGAACTCTCAAACTGAGCAAAAGCAGCGTGCACAAAAGCAAATTTTTTGCAGTTTAATCTTGCAATTTGGAACTGGTCACGTGCCTCATCTGGGTCCAGAACCCTAAAATGAAAGTGAAAATGTAAAATAGACCTAAAAAACAAAACCTAAAAGGCAAACATAAATCAACCGATTGTTGAAAAAAAACATTTGCTTTGCAGAGTTAAAATTAGTTAACCCATTCTTACCAATTCATGCAGAATGCTTTAGAACAAACACCATCCAAAATATCCTCTAACAACCCGGCTTTTCAGCCAGTCTTCCAGTATCCTTTGCGGAAAATTTATTTTTGGGACTTTGAGTATACACCGACTTCCTCTCAGCAGCCACACAGAGTGACAGAGGAGCAAAGGTAATGCAAGTACACATGTACCAGAGCAGGACACCATTTAAAGTAAACCTCTTACTTTACCCTACATTGTGAAAGCTCAGGCTCATATTAACATGTGTTCTCCATAATCTATTTCAGGCAAACCTCACAGAGCTCCTAACACGTCAGGTTGGTCTCAATCAAGCGGATTCAACTTTCAACAAAGATTGAATCTGACTGGCAGATTTGAGAAACGCATTAGTATACAAACCTTGATACATCAGTCTTTCTTTGCCTAACACAGTGAGAAGCCTGCAGGTTGTGTATTTGGGAATACCACCTCTGTAATGCAAAAAGGTTTACAGTAGCGGTGCACCGGAATACAAATGACAGGGCAAAACCAGAAATGTTTTTTTTTAAATATTTTATTTGCATTAAATATTTTTATTTTTTACTCTATTATTGGCTTCGGATAAATATTAGGGGTCTAAGCAGACCCCTGATATTTCACTTTTAAAATAGACAGAGCCCTCAATCTTTTTCTGCAGCCTCGGTTATAAATCAACAGGAATCCTCTATACTGAGTGTTCCTGTTCATTCATAACATGACAGAGTATGTTTACTATAACCACAATCATGAATGAAGAGGAAGTGATGTAGATCACTTCTTATTCATTCATAATTGGGGACACAGTAAACATTCAGCAGAAAAATGGCACTTGCAGCATTTTGCCAATAGTGTCATTTTCAGCCGATATAATCGGTGCATCACTGGTTTACAGGTTACTGGATTAGCAACCCAAAAAAGTTTCCCCAGAGCCTCCACTTATATTAAATTTCAAGGCTTAAAGTAAAATGAAACCTTTTTTATTTGTTTTGCATATAATGCATCTACTGCTAGCATGCAGTAGATATTTGCAAAAACATTAAAAAAAATAATGATACTTTAAAGCATAACTGCCCCTTGTTGAAAAACAAATGAATGGATTGCACCGCTACTCCACAGCACAAGCAGGGGACATCCATGTGCTTACCAGCTGGAGCTCGTCCTCACTCCTACGTTAGCTGCTGTTAAATAATAAAACATCCGGCCGCACTCCATGTAACTGGAAACTTCTTTATTAAAGATCCCACAGCTGCACAAAGTCTGGCCTCAGGTTTGCCCTCAACGCAATTCACCCAATCCTGGACTTAATACGATTAAGTAAAGTGAAACGTGTCAGGCGGCAAACATGTGGAGGGATTTTGTATGATCTTTACCAAAAGAAGTTTCCAGTGACATATGGAGTGCAGTTACACAATGTGGTCGGTCCCCATACTAGTCATAAACTCACCTGTCCCTATATTGCAGAGTAGATTGCACTTGTCAAAATCTTCCCAGCCAGGCTTGTGCATGCACACTGTACACTCATTTAATCCTATAGACTACCCAGCACAGAGCACACGACGGCCCATAGCACAATGAAGTAGACATAATATACAAGTTTCAAAGAATACCTTTAAAGCAATGTTTATTAAGAGTTACCCAGCTGTGAACTACATATCGCAACCATTGCAATATCGGAGTGCTACTGGTACTAGGGCTGCAGCTAACGATTATTTTCATAATCGATTAGTTGCCCGATTAATCGGATAAAAAAAAAAATTGACGAATCGACGATCGAAAACGTTGGTAACGTTTTCAATCGTCGATTTTAATCGACTAAATCGATTAACTGTTGCAGCTCTAACTGGTACTATTAGAAATAACCCCCCTCCTCCCACCATGGTCCCAGGGACATGTGTCATTGGTAGCTGATAATAGTAGCTCCCACAAAGCAGTGCTGCACAATTACCCTGAGCCCTAAAATGTCACATTCACAGTAAGCGAGTACCACCAATAACAGTTTTCACACGCATTTTTCTCTCCGTGAACTATTGAGAGTGACAGCACATAATTGTCATAATACTATACAGTCATACTTACGCCTTGAGTTCTGCAAATCGTACCAAGATTTTGGCATAACTCTCATTGTGGCTGTGATTTTCTGCAGAAAGTGATTCAACTGCATGGTTGTAATTGTCAAGCAGTCTATTGAGCAGTACATGGTCAATCTGTGGCAGGCCTATATTCTCTAACCTTAGAAGAGAAATCAGACATTCTTCTGGGTTTTTTGGTGTTAGAAGATGATTAAATACTCCAGAATGTTCTAAAAGAAGAAACAGAAATGGGTAAATGTTCTTAAAAATAAAAGGGTTCAAAATACGAGTAACAAGAGGTCACTTCCAGATACAAGTAAAACGTTGAATAAATTGTTTGTACTAGAAGTGCACCAAAATGGAATTTTCAGACCGAAGCCGAAAAAAAATACAAAATTTGTCAAGCCGAAACAAAAAACTAATTTTTTCACCAAACTTTTTTAAAATAGTTTTAATATTATATTTTTATTATTTTTACTTTACTGTTGGGTGCTCTGGGGAAATATTAGGGGTCTAAAACAGATTCCTGATATTTCCTTTTTGAAATAGAAATTGACGACAGAGTCTTCACTCTTCACTTTCTGCAGCCCCTGTTATGAATGAACAGGAGGCCTCTATACTGAGTGTTCCTGTGAATTCATAACTTGTAGATATAGTATGAGTTACTATGTCCACAATCATGAATGAATAGGAAGTGATGTAGAGCACTTCCTGTTCATAACTGGGGACACAGTAAACATGCTATGTCCTCAATTATTTTAAAACACTTAGCGATCAGCTGATCGCTTGTAACCCACTCTCCATCCTGCTGTAGTCCCATCACACTGCTGACCGCTTAGTCCAATAAACAACTTGTGGGTGCTACGGTGGCCAACGCATGGCGCCGTGACAATCAAAGTAAAGATGGGGCGCCGGCACTCCAAATAGTGTAAAGTGCGTCTTTTAATGATGTAAATGCAGCATATCAGATATATGTAACGTTTCAGGGTCACACCGGATCCCCTTCTGGGTTTTGCTTGTATGAGGTGTCAGACCTACTTAGGCATCTCTAAGTGGTAGCCCTCGGAAATGCGGTAGAAACGTGCGACAAACGCGCATATTCGATACGCCTAGGTGTGAACCCAGCCTTACACAAAGGCGGAGAAAAAGGCGTTGAAATGCAGTGACCTGCAGGTCAGCACCCAAAGTGCCATTCATCAGTGGTCAGCTGTTGCTCCCTTATTCTCAGCTGGCCCACCAATGATGGTTGCGCTGTATGAGATCCGGGCCAGTTTGTCATTGTTTATACATTGCTATGATATTAGTAAAATAAGCATAACATCACGCCGGCCCGCATCATGCCATAACAACATATAAGTAAAAAGAAAGACTGATCTCTGAGACTTGGATGGCAAGGGTCTTTGGAAGGCACTGGTGATGTAGTCTTCCAGGGGGCAGAGACTAGCATACATTCAAAGGAACTGGACTTTGCGGGTTTATACACCATAGTGTGAGTAGACACTTATAACCATTAAAAAAAAAAAAAACCACCAGTTTGAACCAAAAAGCACCGTAGCCTCACCTGTTGTATCAGCAGATGACTTGGTAAATATCAATTCACCCGTCCAATTATCTTCACTGCCATGCTTCAAAGTATCTTCTGTTTTTTTCAGTTTTTTAACTCTATCCAGAATTGATGCGATTTTCAGTTTCCTCTCACTTATATCTTCGTCATCCATTTTGTGGGCAGTTCTAGACTGAAAAAAAAACACATAAGGTTAACGGTCAGAGGAACCAGAGATTACAGGGACAGAAGGCACAGACAGTAATTACAACAAACACTCTTCCCACTGTACTAGGAAATATGAGGTTTTTGTGCTTTGCCTGTACAAATTGGAGAGATTAACCCCACCTTTAGGAAAAAAGGTGAGGGGAAATTTCCTCAATAAGATACAAAACAAATGAGCGAGATTCTAACCCTTCCCAAAAACATTTTAAACAAAAAAATATATATATGAGGCTGGAAGTGGGCTATAACTCGACAGCAGAGAAATGAATGCAGAACTCCAGCTTACAAAAAAAAAAAAAAGACCACAAATGAAAAGCCAGTTAAATCTTTCTACCACTATACTGTATGTCAGCAGCCTTCAGAACTGAATGACATTAAATCGACTTCCTCTGAGCCCAGGGTGTCAAGCACAGTACCTGGTAGTGTGTCATCATGGCAGTCTGGGCTCACTGTACTACTCCAACTAAATGATCTCCACCACCAGAGGAGAGCAGGAAGGATCCCTGATATCATCAGACCGGCCAAAAGACTGCTGGATTAACGTTGTGTGCTTAAATTTTTGGTAAATTAGCTGCAATGTGGACCACAGGGAAGGCGGTTTGGTAAACAGAAGTCAGCTTGAAAGCGACCATGTCAGGAAAAATGATCTGTAAAAGGTGGTAAATATTTACCTTTTCCACTGCCTGCACCACCCTGATCGGTAAAAATGGTGCCTCAAAGTCCCCTGGAAAACCAGAGTGTCTTACTACCCCGAAAGTAAGACCTAGTACTATCTTTAGAGATTCCTGTAATACAAGACCTACCCCGAAAATAAGGCCTAGTTTGGTGGTTAGAGAAAGTGACAGCCGGCCGAGCGCTGCGGGAGGAGAGCGCTGTGTTTGTGGTTTTTTTTGGAGGGGGGGGGTCCTTTGTTCCTTAGCTCCGCCACTGGTAGGGGGCACACATGTATTGCTGCATCCAAGCAGCCAGCCAGGGGTCCGAGAGTAACGTTCAATTATATGAGCAGCTGGTCTCCTGAAGTCTGCATGTATAAAACATGTAAAGTACCGCAAAACATTTCATCCATACACGGGGGGGACTGAACGCCGCAGCTCCCGCATGCAGCCCGCACACCTGTCTGCCTTGGCTTTTGCTTAGAGTGCTGCCGCCGGGCAGAAAACTACATTTCCCAGCAGGCAGCGGCATGGCCAGTGGGGTCGGAGTGAGGTCAGGAAACTTCTGACTGAAGGTCTGTGCGACGAGGTGGCTCCCTGGACGGCATCAGAGAGGAGAGCTCCAGGACAGCTGCAGCCTGCAGGTACTGTGACAGTATTTTTTCACTCCCCTTCTTCTGTACTGTATGATACAGTACATTCCATATCTTTGCTTTGTGCGACACCTGTGTGCCTCAGCCTCCACAGTTTATTGTATTGTTGTACATTTTGTTGCACATTAAAAACAAAAAAAAAGGCATCCCCTGAAAATAAGACCTAGTGTGTTTTTTTGGGGGGAAAAATATAAATGTCTTATTTTTTTGGGTAAACACAATAGTAACTCTCAAGCAACCAGAAACTATAGTTTGTGGATGCACCGATACTAGTATAGGTATCGGTGTCGAGTAGGGATCCACCAATATATATCAGCCGCCGAAAGATATCGGCCGAAAATGGCACTTTTGGCTAAATGCCGAAAGTGCCATTTTCCTGCTCATACATCGGCGCATCCGTGATTCCTTTCTTCCCCGCTGGGCGCTGCTCCGTGTCCCAGCGGAGAGGAGAGAAAGTGACAGCCGGCCGAGCGCTGCGGGACAAGAGCGCTGTGAGCGGCCGGTGTCTCTCCTCCCACACCGCTCGGCCGCCTATCACAGTGCGGCAGAGCGGTGTGGTGGCGGAGACCGCGCTGTCACAGGAGGCTGGGCTCTCCTCCCTGCACCGCTCACTCAGCCTCATGTGACAGCGTGTGTCAGAGAGGAGAGCAGGCTACATACACTCAGCGATCAGTGATCGCTGAGTGTTTGTACATAATTGAGGGCATGGTATGTGTACTATATCCTCACTTATGAATGAATGGGAGTGATCTATATCCACTCCTGTTCATTCATAATTGTAGTTATAGTAAACGTACTATATTTTCAAGTTATCAATGAACAGGAACACTCAGTTTAGGGGATTCCTGTTCATTGATAACAGGGGATACAGAAAAAGAGATTGAGGACTCTGTGTCCTCAATCTATTTTAAAAGGTAAATATTAGGGGTCTGTTTAGACCCCTAATATTTCCCCGAAGCCCCTAAAAGTAAAGTAAAAAATATTTAATAATGAATAAATACAAATAAATATTAAAAAATGTAAAAGTTTATAAAAAATAAATTAAAATATTTTCGGTATCGGTTTCGGCCTGACAATTTTTTCTATTACGTTTTTAAATTTCTATTTCGGTGCACCTCTAGTGTTGAGTATTTGGACAAGTACTCATTCAAATGCTCCGATGCCTAGCCCGATACTTTTGGTATCAGGAAGCCGGGCAGCGAGTCATTACATGCTGCCCGGCCAATCAGGAAGCCGGGCAGCGTGTAATGACCTGCTGCCCGATTGGCCAGGAAGCCGGCTCCATGCTTTCTTGTCACCAAGTGACGAGAAGCATGGGGACGGCTTCTCTGCTAATCGGGAAGGCAGGTGGCGAGTTTTCAAATGCCGCCCGGCTTCCCGAATAATCAGGAAGCCAGGTGGTGAGTCATCACACGTCGCCTGGCTTCCTTAATAGGACTTCCGGTATCGGTATTGGCGAGTACCAAAAACCAAAATATCGGTACTCGATACCGAAATCGGTGCATCCCTAGTATCCATGTACCTTGCCACATTCCTTACCGGATATACCAAAAGTAACGAGTGCTCGTAATGACTGCGGATGGTGCTGCTCGCAACAGAACTCCAATACAGATGTCACAAGCACCAGGATTCCATGTTAGTGCAAATCCATTCTATTGATAGTTGTCACTCAAACTACGAAATTACGTCGTTTGAATGACAACTATGAATAAAATGGATTTGCACTAACATAGAATCTTGGTGCTGGTGACATCTGTATTGGAGTTGTGCAACACATTCCCCAACCCTCTACTTAAGAGGATTGCAGGGTTCTTTTCCCTGCAGGATTCTGCATTCAATTGAACACGGTGCAGCTATGCATGTCTCCACCCACACGTCATTCATTCACAAGATCTGTGAACGGAAAAAACTACAAGTCCTATCTACAACCACAGCAGATGGACACAAAAATCTCAATGGTGTCCAAGTGGGGTGACATCATGTCCAATGACTACTTCCTCCTGCCCCATGGCTAAAAATCCGTGTGGACCTGTCTTCAGGAGCCTGAGCATTGCACCCATGATCGCAGTTGTAATACTTTCCAGGATCAAATGCAAAAACATACTAAATGTTCCTCAGCATTGTTACATCTATACACTATGTATAGAACGTAATGATTTACAGGACCCTAGACCACTGTAGAGAAGGGAGGGGCTCCAGGGACCAGTCTAAGAGCAAGCCACCTCCGAGGATCAGGTGAGTATTTTTCATTTTTGGCACCTAGGCACAAATGAGCAGTGTTTTTCCCCATAGTTCTCCTTAGGGTAACGGGAGGACACAAACTAGCGTCCTCCCGTTACCCTAAGCTCAGTATACCACGAGCTACAGCTCGCGGTATACTGAGATGCCGCAGCCGGAGCGGATCCCGACGTAGATGACGGGATCCGCCCAGCTGCGTGAGTGACAGCTGGCTCTGCCTATCTAGAGGCAGAGCCAGCTGTACCCGCCTCCTCCCCCGTCCGTTCCGCCAGTCAGCGCTGGCAGATCGGAGCGGGGAGAGGGGAATCCAGCCCTCCCCCTGTCACGGCAGAGAGCCGTGACAGGATCGAGAGGTGAGTGAACCTGGTATGTGTTCGCTCACCTCCCGATCTACTGAGCCGACCTGTGACAGTCTCATTGTCACAGGTCGGCTAGAACTATGAGGTGAGTGGAAATCACTCATCTCATAGTTCTCCTTTAACCCTTGCAGTGCAGAGGTAGCACCACTGAAAGGGTTAATACAAATTCTGTCTGGAGTTTTAAACAAATGAGTGTTTCTGCTCAACTGCCAATTGTTTCTGGGTTTAGTTTCAGGTTTTCCTCTAATACACATACAAGGAGTCATAGAAGAATCTTCTTTTGTGGGGGGAGGACTTGGTGCCTAAATAACAACGTACATAAATAAAACAGGCCTGACAACCCAACCACATGTACGTAGAGATTCGTGGCACTGTGATAGCAAATTGTCGTATATCTTCTATGAATAAGTTTCCGTACACCGAGTAGATGACCGGGGAGCAGAGCTCTATATGCAGGGACAGGACACAGGGTGTGGCATACACATGAAAGCAGCTCGGTGTCACACACCTGTCGGTTCCTGGCCGCTTCCCGCCAGGCGCCTCCGGTAACTGGGTGCGATCCGCGCGTTATTCCGGTACACACACACTCCCAATCCAGCTCCGTACAGCACGAGCAGCCGCAAGTTTGAAATTTGCCACTTCCGCAATGCTGAATCCTGATTGGCTCCTGCAAGCGGAAAAGGAATTACCGGGAAATCACCTGATTCGACCGCCGCCATTTTTCTTTTGGGCAAGTTTTTTAGGAGTTGCAGTGAACTAATTCGGACAGTATAATTTTCTGTTAGCGAATGAGCATGTTTAAATGTCGGATATTTACATTATTAAATTATAGGCTGTGTTTACACCGTTGGCAAATATATGAGCAATGGTTTGCTCAGGGAAAAGAAAACACAACCTGTACAGAGAACAGCTTAGTGAAACTTTATACAACAAATAACATTTTTCAAAAAGACAGTTTTCTTTTATTTTGCAATAAGGCATACTTACCTGCCTGCACAGCTGTATACATTTGTGTCCTCTGCCAAGATGAATGAAGTCCGAAGCATGTTGGCACAGCAAATC